GGCACAAGCCTGAACGTCAGCAGATCTCAGGTCGGCCACGTCTAGATTCTCAGTCTGTGGGGTAGCAGCCGGCCCAGGCCACTGGTCAAACCCAGGCAGCCAGCGGCTCTGGATGGGCACTTGGGCTGGACTCTGCCCCTGCATGGTGCCCATGTAACTCCACCACGTCTCTTGGCAAAGTGCAGAAGGCAGGCAGACACTGGGGGGGGGGGGCACGCTCTGGGGGCGGGGCCCAGCTGGGACGGTGTCTGCAGAGTTCAGTATCTTTTGCCAGGCTGCGCGTCCTGGATGAATCCTCCTCGTGAACGACAAGCCAAACCTTGCTCTTGGCCCGGGCGCCGGGTTCGGTTGTGCTCGCTGCAGCCACGTGTTGCGTTTACATGGACGGACCACAATAGGCTGAGGGCTCCTCCACTTGGCTGGGCTGGGCACGTTTTACGGTGGGGCCCAGCAAAGCAAGCCCCCAGCCAAGTGTGGCTGGAATGCCTAGAGCTTCGCCAGCCCGGCCTGAATGACACAGCCAGCGCAGGCCGCCTGGGTCATTGGGGGAAGTGTGTTAAAACGCAAACAAGCTGCGTTTCCAAGGCCAGGACAAAGGGGGCTTCTTAAAGAAAAGCTTCGCCGGACAAAGGCGGCTAGCCTCATGCTGGGAGCTCCCCGCCAAGCGCAGGGGCGTTCGGACAATGCCCCAGGGAATGGCTGTGCAAAAGCCGCGGTGAGGGCTGGGCTCAGAGGAGCAGGGGCCTCACTGGAGCAGCCCGAAAAGGGCCCGTCAATGAAGACATTAACCCCTCGTGGCGGGAACACCTGCCTGGGTCCCCAGAGACAGTCTGGGCTGGCCCCGACACGCCCACTGAGTTCGGCCCAGGAGAAGAACCTGCATAGCCCAGAGCCACTGGCAAATTACTCCTCCTGTGGGCTTAGCAGCAGCCAGGAAGGCACAAGAAGGCCAATGCCCCGTCCTCTGGCAGTGGCATCAGACGGGAAGCGCTTGCCTGGAGCATCTCAAAGGGCTGACCCCGGCCAGCACAGCCTGAGACGCAGGGATGAAGCTTGGGAGCAGAGCTGTGTCCTCGGCCCTGTATTACGAACAGTGACACCGGACGCTCCTCGAGCTCAGCCACCAGAGAGCTGGGCCGCTGGAGCGGGCGGCGTGATGGGTGATCCCCCCTGTGAAGGGTGGGCAGGAGAGTAAGAGGCCCAGATTGATTACGGCACTTCCTCGTTTGATGGCTTGCTGGTCTCTTCTGCCTCCCCCCGTCGTTGCTAAAATCCCAGGAGACCCGGCTGGCAAGGGGGCATCGCTGGTACAAAGAGAACGGGATCCAGCGCCAGGGAGTTGAATTCAGACTAGAGCTAACGTGCACATGTCCAGGGAGCGTAAGTCACCACTGGGCCAATTGCCCAAGGCGGGCCGTGGCAGCTCTGTCACGGGGCGTCTTTAAATCAGCACTGGATCCACTCCAACTCAACCGATTCCTGCAGGAATCGCCGGTTGAGGGTCTTTCTGTATGCAGGAGGCCGGGCTAGATGACCATGAGTGTCCCTTCTAGGGTGACCAGATGTCCCAATTTTATAGGGACAGTCCTGATTTTTGGGTCTTTTTCTTGTATAGGCTCCTATTACCCCCCCCACTCCCTGTCCCGATTTTTCACATTTGCAGCCTGGTCACCCTAGTCCCTTCTGCTTTGACCATCCGCGGATCTATAAAACAGCCTGTGGGTTGGGTTGTTTTTTCAATATAAACATCTTTCTTTAAGGGCTTTCTCCCCTCTCCCTGCATTATTGGGAGGACTGGGACGGTTGATGGATTTATTTCTTCTTGGCTTTGAAGGAGCAAAAAAGAGCCGTGTTGATCTGTCGTTAACCTCCCTCCCTGTTTGCGGAGAGGCCCAGCCTCCCAGAAGCCAGAGATCAGAACAATCATTGAATTCTGAACCCAGCGTTTATCCCGAGCAAATCCTCGTGGCACTTTGCTGCCCGTGATTCGATGAAACGGTTGGGTTTTAAAACAGGACACGACGCAGAGGGAAGATGCTCGGGGTGATGCCAGCGCGTGCGACACGCCACCGCTAGGGAACGATGCGCCAAGGCCAACGCTGCTCGGTTTCCATCTCTGAACCGGGCTTCAATTTAAAGGTGGAATCCGAGCCTAATTGAATCGCTTATGGTTAACAATCAGGGCCGAGACTTTGTGAAATATGCAGCTCCTCTGGGCCCAGGGACACTCGCTTGAGAGCTGTTGGCAAGCACGCCGAGGTTACATTCCTGCTCGCTTCCATGCAGACATTGGTTTGGAGAGAGCACATCCGCCTGCAACCACTGTGCTTGCCTCAGCTCGGCTGGCTCAGCGTCGGGCAGAACCACAGCGTGGCCCCTTTGAAAGGAGCAGACGCGCAGAGCCATTAACCGACTTGCCCACGGTCAGTGGCAGAGGGCTTGAGCCTCAAACGAAGTGCCTAACTCCCATGGACTTCAATGGGAGTTAGGCACCTAAATACCTTTGAGGATCGGGGCCTGAATTAGGACTAGGACCCCACAGCCTCAACCGCCAGTCCCTGTTTTAGTCCAGAGGCAAACACTGCTTCCTGTTTATTGGCCCTGGAAGCTTACAAGTTAATTGATTGGTCCCTTTGTGCTGTTTAATTTGCCATTAAACTACCGCCATCTTAGTCAGCCTTTGCCACAGATCGCTGCCAGAACTCTGCGAAGAAACGGTCTCTCTCTGGGAGGCTGCATGTGCCTCTGTGCGGAGGAAACTCTTTCCCATGGGCTGACCCCAGCCCTGCCCTTTGCCCTTCCAGTTTTATCTCATTCCTGTCGTTTGGGAGCCGTCCTTATGGGAACAGGCCTTCGGCTGGGTCCTCATGCGCAAAGCTGGGCTTGTTCCTTCAGGAGCATGCAGCTTCAGAGCTGGACTGGAGCGATTCGTAAGCAGAGGCTCTAACGCAATCCTTCCAAGGCAGTTTTGCAATCTCAGGAGGACGCTGCTGACTAAGCCGGGCTCGGCCATGCAAATAAATCTCCTTCGCCCGCCTCTGCAAAATCCCGACTAACGGCCTAAGAACTGGCTCGGGCGGCTAGTAGCACTGATTTGCGAGCACAGACACGTTCCCACACAGCAAGCAACCCACAGACACCTCTCTGCACGGCGCCGGACACGCAAGGTGCATGGCTCCGCAAAATCCGGCACTGGTGCAACTCCGCTGTGGGCACACGGCTGCATGGGGGGCCTCACCCGAGCCGTGCAGAGGGGTGGGCAATGGATTCTCCATGCCCCCGGGCCTCTGTCCAGAACCCAAACTGTCTTGGCCTTTTCTCGTTTGGTCCGAAGAGTGAATCGCCAATGGGAGTCGCACCTCGGAGGTGTCTGACCACCCAGCTGGGCTGAGTGAGGCCCTCAATACACATGCAATGACCCCCGGCTAAGCTGGCAGCAACAACTGAACCTGGCACTTGTTTACATGGTGGGGTAATGCGCTCCGCAGGTGTGGTTTCCAAAGCACACTAACGCGCTGGGCATGAACTGGGCAGTGTAGACCCTGCTGCCGCACTGTAACGTAGTGCAGTTTGAAACAGCGCTGCATTAAAGCGCACCAGGCAACCTTTATCGCACACCAGCAGGGGCTCCATGGACCAATTAATGCGCAACCCCTCCGTGTGCTTTAGAAATCACACCCCATAAAGCGAATCACCCCGTGTGGACAAGGCAGAGATTTTGTCCTAGTAGAACCCCGTGGGCCGGGGGTGGGGTGATTTTTACTCATAGTTCTACCAGTACAATCCTTGTGTGGATGCAGTTAAACCAGTATAAAAGTGCTTTATACCAGGATAGCTTATACCCCTCCCCAGCTGGGACTAGCTGCATCCACACCAGTGCGGGGGTTGTACTGCTTTAACGAGCCAGGTTCAATCGAAGGGATACAGATTTTGGGTGTCGACAAGCCCCAAGTCTGTGGCGTGTGCCCCCCGTCCCCCTTCCCAGAGTGGGCAGCCCCCAGCGACTGCTTCCAGCTTGGATTCCAATGCCCAACGCACTCCGGGCAGATCAGCTTGTCTGCACGGCAGCGTTACCTGAGTTGGCGCTCAAGCGTGAGGCTGCTGTTAATTTGAGGTGGCCGGCCAGAGCGGGAGCATAGGGCAATATCGGAGTGAGCACAACTCATCAGCTGCGAACGGGACGCTCTGTAATGTGGACGCAGCTTAGCTCCACTCGAGCGCGGCTTGTCTTCCAGCGCCTCCCCAGAATTGCCCTGCGCCCATCTATCTATTCCCTGCATCTGGACCAGAAATCCCAGCTCAGTGGGAACTGGTTACATAGCTGCTGTTTATGCCTTTGAAAAGCTCCCTTAACACACATGCTTAACGTCAGCCAATATTTAAGTCCCATTGAAGGGAACGCCACGTGCTTTAATAAATCAGCTGACGAAGGGACGGTCTCTGCATTGCATCTAGAGGCTGTGTATTACCGTGTCGATTCTCCAAATGTCGTGCAAACGATCAAGTGAACCTGCGTGCTCCCTGCTCCACACAAGAGTGCACGTGCAATGGAACGTATTTTAAAAAAAACCCGCACATTTTATTAAAATCGCAGAATAAATTTTCCTGGAACCCAGGAGCAAACTCAATTCCATTGGGCTGTCGGCAGTTTTAATCTTAACAGCAATTTTGAGAGAAGGCAAAAGGCCTTTGATTTCCATCAATAAATATAAAAAAATATAATAAATTACATTAAAAAAAAAGTGAACACTGACAGACTAGCAAAGGGCGTCTAGCGAAACGCAAAGGCGCACAGGGTGGGGAGCGGAGTGGAAGAATAAATAGAGAGAAGGAAAATGGTTACATGACCTTGGGCACAGCTATCAACCGTCATCTGCAAAGCCGCTCCGCTCGCTACCAGAGGAATGTCAAATTTAAGGCACTGGCATCTGCCCTTCTCTTGTGGCACCGACAGGAGAAAAAAACTACTTCGCAGAAGGTTTTTGACACGGCCAGTTGCTTAAAAAGCAAACGCACTGGAGCGGCGTCTCAGTGCCCGGCAAAAGGAAATAGATCGAGCCAGGCTTCGGGTCACCCTGCACCTGGAAACTTGGTTGTTTTGAAGTTTAAACTGAATCATTTTATTTACTATAAATCTTCATCCTCTTATAAAGAGCAAAGGAAAAATCAATGTTGCTTTGTCACAGCAAAGTCCCGGCCTACCCTCTGCTTAGAAATGGAGGCCGTTCTGGAAAATCCACATACTCCTGCCAGTCAGGAGAGGGTCAGCACAGCAGGGAACGAAAGACAAGCGGAAGGAGCCCCGCTCTGCTTTGGCCGGCCCTGTGCAAGCAGCAGGCGGAGGAAGAGTTCGCCACGGCCCTCCTCTGCAAGCACAGAACCTGCCTGACATCCGGCCACGAGGCTGTGCGCAAGGCAGCTGGAGCGCTTTCCAAGGATGGCAGCTGGTGCCCCGGCCAAAGCCAAGGAGGGCGGTCCTTCCGAACAGGCTGCAGTCTAGCGCCTCCCCCTGGAGCCAGCTACCATCGCACAGCAGCGGTTGCACGCAAGAGATCACCCAATACTAATCATCATCATATCAGCAATAAATAAAACTAACCGCTGTGGAGGTATAATTGGTACAAGATGGCATGAGAGACTGGCTGACTCCGCTCTGGGCACTGCCATCCTGTCGGTCGGTGACCTCAGAGGCTCTTGGTTGGGGACGATGCCAAGCACACTTCAATTCTCCACTTCAAGTATTTCCCGGTTTGCACAGCCGCTGAGTATCGCTTTCTCTCCCGCAGCGATTCCTTCTCCACGCGGGTGGCGAGGCTGCCTGGGCTGGGGCCGGCTCCTGCTCAGATCGGGATGCCAACCATGCTCACCTGCTCCTTCAGCCCCAGCAGGCTATAGGCGATGCGTTTCTGGTGACCCGGCAGGCGCACCCCGATTTTCTTAATGTCACTGGGGAACAAAAAGGCAAAGGGGAATGTCAGCAGGGCCAGCCGCTACCACGATGCACGAATGCCAGGTGCGGGCGAGGGCCGCCCTTCCGGGCCGAGCTGGTTTGAACACAAGGGGAGAAGGACTCAGCCCGCATTTACCAAGCGGCCATGAAAGCTGGCCTAGCAGCCCGAGCGTGTGGGGCGTGGCCAAGGAAAGGGGGCGGGGCTGGAGTGCGGCTGTGCCCCTGCCATCCCTGTCTGGTGCATTACACCCCTGGCAGAGCTGAGAGCAGCCTTGAGGCTGCCCTAAACTACGCAGCAGATGGTGTTGAACTGGCTTCAGGACCAAGGAGCCACCTGCACCTCTTGTGACCACCACTGAGGACTGGCACCCACCCTGTGTCGTCACAATCTCCCCCTGCCCTTTCTTCTTCCCCGTCCCTCTCTCGTCTTCGCCTTCCTCCCCGACCCAGCCTGATCCTTCCCTTAGGACAACTGTCGATGGCCCGCTCCAAAGCTAGTGAAGCCAAGGGAAAGACTCCCAGGCTCCAGTGAGCTCTGAGGGAGGCCCCATGTTCCCAGCTGGAGCCTGGAGAATCTTTCTCATGCCCTGTCCTGACACTGCTTCCTTTTGGCAGCCCCAGTGCTTGAACAATAAGGGGAGGGCAGGCCAGCCTGTCTGTTAATGAGCCTCTCCCTTGTTTCCCTGTAAAGCCAGTTAATTACAGGGTGCGTGTTCAGATCGGCAGCACCTCTTGAGACATCGCTGAGCCACCTTGTGGGCTAGGGCAAGGCCAGTGGAGAAAACAGGCAGCTCCACACACCTCCACAGGGAATTAACAAGGGTAATTAGTCTCGTTCGGCTCCGCAGCATGTCTCCAGGCCCTTCACAAAGGAAGCTTTGTCCTCATTGGGGAACCCAGGTGGGCGGGCGTGGCTTTGCCAATGGTCACAGGCATGGTGGAGCCAGGAACCAGATCCAACCCCCACCCTGCCCAGTGCTATGCTCTAGCCACTAGACAATGCTGCCTCCCTACAGACATAGAGGGACAGGCCAGCTAGTCTGCCTTCCAGCCTTGGAAATAGCCAAACTCCGCAGCCCAGGAACACCGAGAGGCCCCAACAGAAATCCAGCGCCAGACTCAGCCCTTGTCCTGAACAGCTTAGGGTAGAAATGGAAACTGAGGCACCGGGGGGGGGGGGGGGGGGCCTTGCCCAGCAGGCTGGTGGCAGAATTGGTAATAGAGCCCAGATCTTCTGAGTGCCACTCTAGTGCCCTGGCCACTAGGCCACCCTGCCTCCTCTGCAAATTAGAGCAGGCACGCTGCAGGCAAAGGCTCCCCGGGCTGGGCGGCAGAGGAGACGCCCCTTGGGCCTAGCTGAGCCAGCTTTGTTTAGGGAACATGATGTTCTGCAGCTATCCCCGGATGCTCCCCCCCATCCCCGTCCCTGGGGCGTACAGAAAACATTCCCAGCCTGGTCCAGCAGCCAGCCAGCCCCGCTGTTTACACAGGCTATATTTATCCTACAGGGCTCGGGGTGTTGTTATTTCCTGGGGGATGAGGATTTGGAGGGGGGAGGAAAGGAAAAGAGGGCCCCCCCTCCTTCCAAGAGTGCCTGGGAGGGAGCAGGGGGGAGATTACAGCGCTTCTCCCTTCTGGGTGACTCTGAGCAGGGTCCCAGTGCGGAGAGGGACGCGGCTTCCCGCGGCTCTGCCAGGAACTCAGGACCTCAGGCTGTGGGGTTGGGAGCAGGGAAGGCAGAGGGGCAAAACTGAGCCCAAACCACCAACTCCAAGGAAAGAGAGAGCCCGAAGGGGGGCTCCATTCCCCCACCTCGGCCCCTGGTACCTCACCCGCGCCTGGCCCAGCCAGGACGGGGGCGACGCAGAGCGGGGAGGGGGCAGCGGTTAGCGCCATGCAGTGCCACACAGCAGCTCTGGGCTCAGCTCTCCGGGCCCGGCCTCCCTCTTCTGGGGCCAGCCGGAGCTGAGAGCGCTGGAGAAAGATGAAACTCCGGGGGCGGGGAGCTAGCACGTGCCCCCGCTGTCTGATCAGGGACAGCTGACGGGATCCTGCCCTCCTTGGGCAGAAAGCAGGTAGGGCTCGGGGGGAGGTAATGCCAGTCGTTGACAAGGGCAGGAGAATGACGCTGGCAGGGAACCAGAGGTACCACCAGGGGAAAAGGGACAGCTCGGCCCTGGAGATAAGAAGAACAGCTCAGTGGGCATCAGGCCCTACGTACCAGCCCAAGGGGGACTCCGGGGCCAGGCCCAGTGCTGCCCCCAGGTCAGAGCTCTCTCCCCCACACCCAGGACTCAGGCCAGTCCCGCTGGCTGGCAAGGATCAGCCTGACGGGGCTTTGAGAGCCAGGAAGTGATCAGACTCCTTTCCGAGTGCCACAGGCAGAGACAATCCAGCTCGCGGTAGGCGCCCGCTGCAGCCCAGCTAACCTGACCAGCGCTGGAATGCCCAGGACCCGCTCTGCCCTGGCAAGACACTAAGCAGCCAATTTGGGAAGCTGGTGCATGCATCCGCCCGCGGAGCCAGAGCCTGCCCCCAGTGAAGGACCGGGCCTGTGGTGAGCAAGCAGATCCGCACGGGTGCCCGGATCAGCCCCAGGCCCTGCCCTGGAAGCCCTCAGAGGCGGGGCCTGCCAGCGAGCGGCAAAGGCAGCGGAGGGGGGAGCGTGACTCACTCGTTGCTCATCTGCACCACTTTCTCGATGGCGTTGTAGCCGCCCGACAGGAAGTTCTCCGTGTACTGGTTCATCTTGATGGAGTCCAGCCACTCGGAGACGGTCCTGAAGGGAAGGCCCTCCGAGCCGCTGGTGCTGGGCAGGCGGATGGACACCCTGCGAGGACACAAAGCCCCCAGATGTTAGCATCCTGTTTCCCCTGGGCAGGGCAGCAGCTGGGCAGGGGTGGATTCCTCTGCCCAACACCCTGGGCAGTTATACCAAGGCGGGCAAGACATGGGGGCAGGTACCTGACAGGTCACTTCTCCTTCCTCCACGAGCCACACGGGTAAAGCACATCCCTTCCCCCAGCACCCCCTCTGCAGGGAGAGTCACACCTCCCATTCCCAAGGTAGAGGCATGCTTCCACCCCCCCCGCCACGCCTCCCTTTCATCTCAAAGGCATCAAATCCCAGGGCTTATGAGCGGACGGCACGCTCTAATGGACTGAGCACAGGGCCGGGAGCCAGGATCCCCGATGTTCTAACCCAGCACCACCACCAGCTCGCTGGGTGACCTTGGATAAAGAGCTTGAGCCGTGCCTCAGTTTCCCCATCTGTCAGAGGAAGATGGGGATAACAAATCCCCGGCGGCTGGGAGGGTTAATTGCATCGTGTCTGTAAAGGGCTGGGTCAGTGCAAAATGCTTTTTAATTATTGTTCATTGTTAGTTTGGTGGGGGCTCGCTGGGCCCAGCCGCTTCACAGCTTTCCCAGGGGCTCGGCTTCGAGGGGATCCCTGGGGGAGCAATGGGGGAGAGATGCCATGGGGGAGCCCTGGCTGCCTGCTTGCATGCTACAGTGGGAGGGTTCCAGCCCCTGCCAGTCTGTGCTCCCCGCGACCACGTCTGCTGCCCCATGGGCCTGCCCCAAGTCCAGCCTTGGCGCGGCCCTGTTGGCTCGAGGGCTGGGTTTGGCCCTGCGTCCCCTATATGTGGTCCAAGCCCTGCCCGCGGGCACCAGCCAGCTGGCAGCCCCTCCCGTTAGCACCACCTGGAATGCCCAGCGAGGATGCCCAGACCCCGAGGAGCCCGGGGCTTCACATCCCTGCAGCAGCCTCCTACCGGTGCCACACAGCACTCGGGGACGCTGGCACACTGCATCCAGCCCGCTCTTGCTTTCCCAGCTCCTGTTGCGGTGCCCACCCTCTGCAGGCCACGGCCCTGCAGAAACACCCTCCCCGATAGCCAGCGCTGCCTGGTCAGGCCCTTCTTCGATGGTACCAGCTGCACACGACTCAGTGTCTTGTCATCAGGAAGCAGAGGTGGCTCGGACCAGCGAACCCCCCCTCCACCCAGAGGAATCCCTGGCTGAGCCGGAACCAGGGCCCGGCGGGTGGGCTCCGGACCAGGGGCATGCGGAGAAGGCTGGTGGCCAGTTGCCTACCGGGGGTCGAAGTCCGCCAAGGTCTTGAGCGACTCGGGGGCCCGGATGAGCTTGTCGAGGATGCTGACGATGTCGTTGAACTTGGGCCGGCGGCTCCTCTCCTGCTGCCAGCACTGCATCATCAGCTGGTAGATGGCGGAGGGGCAGTCCATGGGGGCGGGCAGCCGGAAGCCTTCGTTGATGGCTTTCATGACCTGCCGAGGGAAGGCGACCGGAGGGTGAGGGACGTGGCCTGAGGATCAGAGGCACCCGCCTCCCACGCGCTGGCAAGGCGAACGCCGCTCGCTCTGGGCCATTCCTTGCAATCAAGGGGGTGGCCTCCCGGCTCGGCGTGTGCCTGGTGCTGCGGAGAGCTGCCCGGAGCCCACCCACGGCGTGTGGGGCAGGCGGGCGGGGAGCTCTCCCATAAATCCCTGGCTGGACAGGGAGCGTCTCCTTGTCTCCTGCTTTGAGAACGGACACGCAGGTCAGACCATCCCAGAGAGCCCCACGGGGGGGGGTCAGAGTGCCTCGTTCATCGCCCGCCGAGCAACCCAGGCTGTGCCCGGAGCGTGCACCAGGCTGGCAGCAATGGTACAGCCCGGGGGCTCTGCTCTGTAAGTGGGAGCCACGTGCTACTCATCGTGGGGGCTCAGGACAGCCCCTTGCCATGTTAACCACACCCACTCCAGATGCCCAAGGAGGCAGCACTGTGGCACTGCCAGGCTCACAGCAGTGCAGGCTTCCCCCGTGCTGCCCCGCAACCTGTTCCCCCCCCCCCCCGGCCCAAAAGAGGAGCTCGGTCTTCACGGCCCATTCGCTCCTTGGCCCCGCAACTGAGATTGCCGGCCACAGCGGTGGGCTTTGTCCTGTGGACACGTGTCCCCCCCCACAGTGCATGTCACATGGGCCACAAAGGGCCATCAGACGGAGCAGCGTTTCACAACCAAGCCAGGCTGGAGTCTGGCGCCTAGCCCGTCCTAGGCCTCTCGGATGTCCAAGCCCTTCCAGAAGGGTGAGGGATGGTGGAGAGACATGGACAGACAGACACTGTTTTATCCTTCCCCCAGGCCCCTTTGAGACGAGCCCGTTGCGTTGTCAGTGCCAGGGCAGCGGGCACAGCGAATAGCCGGCGCGTGGGGCCGGATCCCCACTCTAGGGACATGCAGCGGCCGTTCCCGGGGGGAGCCCGGCAGTCCATCCCCGTCAGGGCCGTTCAGACACAGGCAGGCCGGCTCTGCTGGCTGCACTCACCTCGTGGTTGGAGAGCTCCCAGTAGGGCCGCTCGCCGTAGGACATCACCTCCCACATGACGATGCCGTAGCTCCACACGTCGCTGGCCGAGGTAAACTTCCGGTAGGAGATGGCTTCCGGGGCTGTCCAGCGGATGGGGATCTTGCCGCCCTGCGAGAATCACACAGCCCAGGGATTGACACTGCTGCCTGCCTGCCCCGTCCCTGGCTGATGCCGAGGGAGGCTGCGGCCCCGGGGCTGCCTCCTGCGCCCACGACTGGCCATGCCGGAGCTCGCTGGACCCAGAGGGGGCTACGCAGGGGGCGGCACCAGCAGGGCCCAGACCAAGCCGGGCTCAGGCTCGAGGAGCAGGGCGGGCTCTCAGCATGGCCACGCTCCTTGCTGGGTGTGTGTGTGGGGGGAGAATTTCTCTGACATCCCATCAGCCCCAACCACCATGCCCACTTAGTGTAGGTCCTACGCCAACAACGGGGGGCAGGCACAGGCCACGGCTGCAGCCCCTCCCAGCCGGAAAGAGCTCAGCTGCCCCCAGCCCAGGGGTGTGTCCACCCACCGTGGCTGATGGAGCAGATTTCCGGGGCGGGGGGGAGGGGGGGCTCCCATTGTGATTGTGGGGGCTCTTCTACTTCCCTTCCCCCTCCCGAGAAGGGGACAGGATCAGCCCCACGCCCCGAGGTGGCGGGGGCAGGGTCACCTGCATTCCCCCGTGTCCACCAGCTGGGCCTTGTTCCCTGGGAGAGACAGAACAAACCCCTCTCGGCCAAGGGGAGCAGTGTAAGGGCAGGGGGGCGTTCTCCAAACTCCCGCTAGCACCAGGGACAGTCACACCGGGATCTGCCACGACAGTGCTGGCTCCAATCTCACTTTGTGCCCCCGTGTCCCATAGTCAACCCCACTGGTCTGCCCCTGCACGGAGGGACCCTGACATTTGAGTTCTGATTTACTGCTGCTGCCAATCCTTGGATCCTATCTCGTGTTACCCGCCCTCTCTCGCACTCTCTTGCAAGCCTAAGGTTGTCAGGGGAGCTGGCTGGGGGGCCTGAAGACTGGATGCGCAGGAGGGGCTGCAGTTTGGGATACAGGGGCATCAAAGGACCTAAATCAGGGAACAGGGCTGGAATAGCAGGAGGGGCTGCGGGCTGGGGTTGAGGGATGGATAGTGGCAGAGCTGTGTACCCAGAGATGCTGGGGCCCTTCCGCCCCAGAATAGCAGGGGGACTCAGTCTCCCCACCGCAGAAGACACCCGATGACCCTAGGGGAGCAGGGTAGTGCAGCCGACGAGCACTTACGCTGGTGGTGTACGTGGCCTCCGGATCATCCTCCAGGACGCGGGACAGGCCGAAGTCGGACACCTTGCAGACCAGCTGGCTGTTGACGAGGATGTTGCGGGCCGCCAGGTCCCGGTGCACGTAGTTCATGTTGGCCAGGTACTTCATGCCCGCGGCGATGCCCCGCAGCATGCCCACCAGCTGGATCATGCAGAACTCACCGTCCTTCTCCTGCGTGACGAGAAGAGAGGTGCTCAGGATGGTAAGGGGTTAAGCCAACCGCCTTCCCTGCATGCACTGTGCTCCTATCACCATCTCACAGTTTACATGGCTCCTTGAACCCAGAGCATGCCACAAACTATAGCGATGCCATGCAGCCAAAATGCAGCCACCTCTGGGGTGGAGGGTGGCTGCCCATCAGTGCACAGCACAACAGTGGAGGCAGAGGGGGTGAATCATGGACGCGGACACTGGCACAAATCCAAACTCAAAGAAAGGGCTGGGAGATCTTTAACACCCATGTGGAACCCCAGGAGTTATGGGCTTGACTCCCCTACAGGACACTGCATGTAAATCTATGGGCTTGACTGTCCTTTCACTGCACCTGCAAAGGATTGTGGGATATGGTGGTTTGTGGGTTGCTGAGCAAAAAATATTGAAGAACACTGGGTTAGACAGTCCGGCTCTTTTTCTTATTAAAGTCGTGGTAAAAAAAAGAGACATTTAAAGAGCCAATTCCCTTCCTCGTATTCCAGCTCACATGGTTCGGATCAGGAGCATTCTGACAACCCAACGGACTTTGCATCATTGATGCAGCTCCTTTACTTTGCATTTTGCTCAGCTCCAGACATGGCCCGTTTCGTCAGTTTCCCTTCCCATCTGGGATGCACTAGCCCAGGGCGGAGATGCCAGGGATGCAAAGGCTGTAGGGGAGAGTTCCATAGACTCTCATCCTCCCACATGCTTACGACTATTTCAGCTGAACTGAAAAAGCAAATAACGTTCACCCTGAGTCTTAAATCTTGGCGATTCCCTTCCTTGTTATTGGACAAAACCTAAATCCGAGGGCGTGGCCTGCAGTTCTTGACAACGTCCCTTTAAAAATGGGTGGGCCTGGCTAGGACTGAATTGTTCTTCTCCTCTCTCTGCTCATGAGCGAGGAACCTACCCGCAGGAACTTGTCCAGGGCTCCGTTCTCCATGTACTCAGTGATGATCATGAACGGTTTGTCTGAAAAGAGAAGGGTAAATCACGAGACGTCCTGGGAGAGCTCCCTCCCCCAGACCCCAGCACCGCCTGGCGACAGCCCGCGGGCGTTTGTGCACGCAGAGCAGGAAGGGGAGCTGGGTGCTGGTCATGGGGCGGAGAGGTGGCTGGAACAGCCTCCCAGGGGAACAAGCCCAGATAAGGTGATCAAGATTCCGCCGAGCATGGGCGTCATCTGCGCTGATGGGCACCTGGCAGGGAACATGACTGGGAAAGGGTCACGCTTGTGGGAGGGGTCTACTCCCGTGTGTCTATAGCCAAGCCCTGCCAAGCCGGCCGCCACATTCTGCTTCCAGCAGTTGTTCTGGTGTAACCCCAGGATTCTGGTACCTTTCGGTAGGAATGATCCTGGTCAAAGTCCTGCAGTGAGGGGCGAGGGGATTTTTTGAACAGCGACTTTCCCTGAGTCACCCCCAGCACAAACCTTGCCATTTTTGCAGCTGAATCAGCGCTCTTGGCAGGAAAAACAACTGGTTGTCAGGTGAGAAGGGACCATGGGGGGGGGGCCTATGGGATGGGGGGATGCTTACACTTGGAGACGACGCCCTCCAGCCGGATGATGTTGTGGTGGCAGAATTGGCCCATGATACTGGCCTCGCTCAAGAAGTCGATGCGCTGCTTCTCCGTGTAGCCAACCTTCAAGGTCTTGATTGCCACCGGGATGTCCTTCTTCCCGTGTTTCAGTGTCCCCTTGTAAACTTCCCCGAACTCGCCTGGCAGGAGGAAAGGAGGAAGAGGGTGACCCTCCTGAGGGTACTGGAGACCTGGGCATGTCCACCGCTGTGCGATGCAAAGGCCCGTCTGTCTCTTCTCTGGATGGAAAACCCCTTCAACTACTGGCTGCACCAGGAGGCCGTATCCCTCCTACCCCAATCACAGCCTGCTTGAGGAAGGCGGGCCCCACCTGCACCAGCCACTCGCAGCAGGAAGAGGGAGCGACCTACCTGCACCAATCACCTTCTGCCGGGTGATGCACGAGGGGTGAATCTCAGTTGTAAATTTCAGCACCGCCTGGTTGGGGTCTTCGTAGGTGTGGGGGTCCACGTAGGTCTTCAGGGGCTTCAGCTGTTCTGTGGGGCGGAGGGAGGGAGGGGAACACATGGAAGCAGGCATGAGGTTGGGGCTCAGGACCCCAGCGAGATCTCATCCTACTGAAAGTACAGTTCAACACATGGCCGTTTGAAGCCCAGCTGCCCCGGCGTGCTCAGCCCAACACCCGTTTCCTCCCCCTGCTGCAGGCAGGGACTCCGCCGACATCAGGCTGGCCGTGGGGGGCGGGGTCACCCTTGAGCCCGCACAGACATTTATGGGTCACACTCCGGGTTCCTGTTCACTCACTGGGCTTGGCTGTAGCCCCAGGGCTCCAAGGGCCCCGCAGCCGAGCTACACCCTGCACAACCACCACCGGGGACCCACGCTAGGGCCGTTCTTCAGCAGCGGGCTGTGGGGCCAGCAGGCCGCTCACAGGGGGCCGGGGCTTGTAGGGTCACATTCTGCCCAGCCCCTGCATGGTCAGGTGAGGAAAGACACACGGACTGTGCTGGGTCTGCGCACCACCTTGCGGGGGAAGCGCTGTCCCTGCCTCCAGGGGTACAGGGGCCCTGTCTCCATGCTCCCGGCCCCAGCTGAGCACAGAGCTGGGATCTGCCACACTCGTCTCTAAGGGGCACATGCTCCCTGCCAGACTCCCCGGCGCCTGTCCGACCCAGCTCCCGCTGGAGTCTCTCACTCACCAGACTTGGAGAAGTAAACGTCCTCAGACGACTGACGGGCCCGTGAGCGCCTTCTCCTACAACAACAAGGAGGGTTAGGCCTGGAGACGCTCCCCACTGCATCCCGAATCACATGGCCAGCAGCCTCCCCATGAGAGAACATGCCAGACAAGCTCATCTCCCCCACATCCTTCTTTGCTGTCCTAAAGACTCCCCAGATCGATCCAGCCCCCCGCCTTGCCTCTTAATATGGGGGAACAGATCCCGGGGGGTCCTGCACTCAGTCCTTCCTTGGGCAAAGCCCCCAGTGACGCCCAGGCTGGGTAACCAGTGAGTAAGGGACTGAGGGCCTAGTGGAAACAGACTAGTCTGTTTCACTTCTGTCTCTGGTCAGTTTCACATCCGGGCTCTCCTGCCATGGTGTCTGGGTTGCAAGAGGTCGGTTCCTCAAGCAAACATTTCGGTTGCTCTTACACAGCCTAAGCTGGACCCAAGCCGGCCCATGTACATCTCAGCAGCCAATGCCAGGTCAGCAGCAGGAATCACATGATAACAGACGCCTGGGCTGGCAGCAAGGCACAGGTTAGCTGCCTGCAATACTGCCCCCTCCACACCTCCAGGCCAGTGGGCGCATTGGCTGTGAGGGAAGGGAGGTCCAATGGGGAAGGGACAGGCAGCCACTCCTGGGCTATGGACGCCCTAATGACAAAGGGGGGGGGGGGGAATCCAAATACCTTCGGTGAAGGTAGAGGGCGACAGCTACCACGACCAGTATCAAAATGATCCCAGTGATAGAGCCGCCGACCGCGGCCGCCGTGTTCGTGCTCTGGGAGCCTGCAGGAGGAAGGAAAGACGGTGAAGGAAGCCACGGGGAAACTAACCACACATTCCCAGCATGGCTCCTTACTGGCCGGGCTCTGCCCAGGCCTCTCCAAGGGTGGTGGGTGGTAGTGGGGAGTCCCTTGGCACCTGAGATTTAGCAACGTCCAGGCAGAGAGAGCGCTCGCTCCCTCTGTCGCTCTCGGCTCCCTTCATTCTGATCTCTGCCCTGCACTGAGGGTCGGTAAGTTTCGAAGGTGGGGCGCAAGGAGAGGCAGAGTTGGAAGCCACGGGTGGCAAGTGATCAGAGCTGGGGACTCAGAGACAGGACACTTGAGTTCTATTCCCATAGACTCTGCCATTGACTCGCTCCGTGGCCAGGGGCAAGTCACTTCTCCTCCCCGTGCCTCAGTTTCCCCAGCTGGGAAATGGTGGTAGTAACAGTGGGAACTGCCCCTCCCTCACATACTCACCCTCAGCACGCGTCTCAAACTCATACTCCATGCTGTAGGCCCCCTGGCCTTCTTGTGTCAGGGCCTGGACCCGCACCAAGTACTTGGTGCCCGGTGTGAGCTTGGAGAGGGTCACCGAGTTCCCTTCGGAGCGCAGGACCGAGTAGCTGTTCTCATCCATCTTCAGAAAGCAAAACACACAACCCCCACCACAAAGATCAGCAGCCTCGCGGGACCAGGCAGCGCCCCAGAGCCCAGCCGGGGACGGGACAGGGGCGAGCCAGTAACAGCATCAGCCTGGCTCAAGGATCAGTGGCTGAGGCCAAGCCAGTGAGGACAATCTGGCTTCACTACCAGGCCCCCGCAGTGACCTGATGTCCCTCTGAGTATTCCTGGAGGCCACTCCAACAGCTTGATTCATGCTGTGGCTTGTGCATCCAAGCCAGGCCCTGCCCTTCCAACTGGCTCCACGGGCAGAACCACTAGGAAGCTGTGGTTCCCTCTCCCTTCCCTCCCTTCCCTCCAAGCCCAGAGGGCGTGACTAGCTCGGAAAGTGAACGGCCAGCGCTACCTTCTTGCTGTAGGTGACTTCGTACTTCCAGACGCGGCTCTGCTGCCGGGGCTGGACGGTCCAGGAGATGCTCAGGCTGGTTTCAGTCTGGCTGTCCAAATTCACCGATGTCACCCGGGGAGGCTCTGGCCAATGGAGAAGAAGGCGACGGTCAGGTGGGTGCTAGGAGGCGTGAAGCCATCACCTCAATCATCGGGTGCAAGGATGCCGGGCCCAGACAGAGCTGCCCATACACCGGCATGGCCGGTCCAAACATCTAACTACGCAGCAGTGCGTCTGCTTTGCCATACTCACCAGCGGATGGTCTCCTCTGCTGCACAGGTGACTTCAGCTGCTTTACCACACCCCATCTAACCCCTTCTCTGATGCCGGCTGAGCCCCATCAAACCCCATACCTGACATTCACGGCTTTCCCATATTAACCAGTGCACCTCCGTCATCTGTATATAAATCACCCCCCCCCCCCCGCAAACCGAATGTAACAGGCATGTTGATACAAGCCCACCAGTTATATATACCGACCACCCCTTACCTGTCTGGTTGACGCTGATGCTTGCAGTGCCATAGCTGCGGCTGGGGCCATAGGCGGACACCCCGTTCCTGGCCTCCACGGTGAAGGTGTAATTAACATGCGGCTCCAGGTCGCTGACGGTCAGAGACGTCCTGGTCAGCCCCTGGGGCTGGTCCGAGTAGCGGATGCTGCTGTCACAGGGCCGACACTCCCCCGACTCCGGCCAGCACTGCTCACACGTGATGCTGTAGGTGATGTCCTTACGGCCCCCCGTGTCGCGGGGCGGGGACCAGCGCAGCTGCACCTTGGCGCCCAAGCCGACGGCCATGACGTTGTGGGGGGCAGAAGGGGGACCTGGATGGGGGAGGGGAAAGGTCATGGGTCATGGTGCCAAGGGCATTTCCTTTTGGGGGCAGGGTAAAGAGAGCACATGGCTCCCAGCGCTGGAGTGACGAGCTTGGAGCTTCTGGAACTGGAGGAGGGAGACCCAACCGACATGCCCCATCCCCAGCCCCGGGGAACAGCAGCCAGATCCATCCCCCGTGGCTGCCCCCGCCAATATATTCCCTGTTTGAATGACGTCACTACAGGAAGTGCCGCCCTCAAAGGCGCGGGACGTTTCACTGGGCATGAGGGGCGGGACTTCCTGTCATTTGGGGTGTTCCCCTGGTGGGCGATGAGACTGAGTTCATCCCAGCTCTCAGGGGTGGCGCTCACTGGGCTGGTGTGACCCGGGGTCGAGACTGGGCTGTCTCATACCCAGCCTGCCGATTCACAGCCTCTTGAGGATGAGCGGGAGGAGCTTTATGTGGGCTACGTGAGAGAGTTGAGGGGCGGGCGGTCTGGCTCTTAGAGCTGGGGACTGGGAAGCAGGATTCCTGGGTTCTAGTCCCAACTCTGCCACTCGCTCACTGTGTGACAATGGGCAAGTCACTCGACCGCTCTGTGCCTCAGTTTCCCCACTTATAAAACACCGGGGAGCCCTTACCCACCTCCCACGCTGAAAGCACTAATGCTCACAAAGCGCTCTGAGATCCTCAGGGGTCAGTACTATTCTAGATGAGCAGAGGGTTACTATCACAGGTCAGGAAAATGGAGCAGGCTCTGACCTGTCCTGGGGGCAGCTGGGGTGGGAACGTGGGTGAGAACAGCGGAGGTTTGTCACCACAGCAGGGTCTCATACTTACGGGTGCAGGGAAAAGACACTGGATCCTCTGCCGCCCGGAAATAGCCTTCCTCACATGGGCACGAGGTGGAACCTTCAGGAGAGGAGAGCGTGTGGGGGGGACACTTGGAGCAGGCATCACCGGAGATGTCCGGCTTGAAGGACCCAGCAGGGCAGGCTGCGAGGGGAGAGCAGGGCACAGGTTAAGCAACAGGGGCACTCATGGGGGTAAAACCCATTCACGGCCCTGAACGTGCAGCAGCTCCCGCGGAGCCTCCCCAGAGCCTGGCCTGACCCCCTGCGACCCAGGAGAAAGCAGGAGATGCAAAGTGATGGAGGAGACACAGGAGGGGCTGCGAGAGGAGATGGTGACCAGTGGGTCTGCAGATCCCGGGGATAGCTCCTCAGACAGCCTAAGAACCAGGACGCTGGGAGGGGGTGTTGCAGTGAGGGGGAAGGAAGCACTGTGGGGCACTACCATGGATTTGCACAGCCTCCAATGCTGGCCCCCCAAGGCATGTGGATGGGGTTGTATGTTTCCAGGCGGGGGCGGGGTTGGGGGCTTCCTTTCTAAAAGTAACTGACAGCCATGATGTAAGCGTGGAGACCAGTTGGGGTGGGGGACAGGGCTGGACTTTCCGAGGCCTGGGGTAGGTTTAGCTTTCGGTGCTAACCTCCCCCCTCCAGGGGCAGCTCTGCAGCCTCAACTCCTGCTCCCCTCAGTCCCGGCTCCGGCTCCCACAAGGCAGACGGGGGAGATCCCCCCTCTGTGCCTGCCCAGCCTCCCCTCCGGTATTATTAAAGGGACAGGCCGACAGAGTTTCCAATCCAAGACCAGCACCTTCCTCCCCCAACCTGGCACTTCAAACTTCCCTCTTCCAGTCCTGCAGCCAAGCCCGGGACGGGGGACTGCTCAGGGCGCCCACCTGAATGAGCAGCCGCTGACTGATGTGAGGATCTCGCTCTCCCGAGGAGCTTAGCTCGCTCCCTCTGCAGCCCCCAGCGTAGGAACGGATCCCAGATACATGCAGCGAGAGGACAGCGCTTAGGCCGTCGGCTCTTCGGGGCGGGGCAGTATCTTCACATTTGCACAGAATCTAGCATGATGGGCCCCCACTGTCTGCTTGGGGTCTTGACCGTAATGCCAACCAATCATCATCACGCTACAGCGAACAAGCCCCTGGCTCAGTCTGTCTGAACTCCCCTTCAGAGTCCTTCCTCCCACAGGGATGAGAAAACTTTATCGAAATGCAGGAGAATGTGGCTGACAAACCACAGAAATTGGCCAGGGGGAATCAGGGGCAGATATGGAGCCTCAAATTAATTTTCACTCGGTTTTGGGAGGTAACACAGTCCTCGTCCACACACTGATTTTATCCTGCTTTAACCCTGCCAGTTAGAAGGGGTGACTTTTTACCACTATGGTTATACCAGTACAACCCCCCGTGTGCACACAGTTGTACCAGCACAGAGGTGCCTTGTACTGGTGTGCCTTTCCCCCCTTCCCTACAGCTATACCAGGCTACAGCACCTTTCTACCATTATGGCCACGCACACAAGGGGGTGGTACCGCTGTAACTAGACCAGTTCCAAACAGATACAGTTAAAGTGTCACAAGAACTGTGTAGACAAGGCCTTATCTCAAGGTGATGGGGCCCCATCGGACAACAAAGGGCTAAGCCCCCCCGATTGTTTGCAGACTCAGTTAGTTTTTTTTCTTTGGTATCTTTAAACAAAGAGAGTAGCAGGGGTGGGGGGGGAGCCTGACTCATTCCCCATCTGATCTGGGTTTTCCACAGGAACCCAATTTCCGCCTCCTCACCCCACCCTAGGCTGTGGGGGTTGCTTCCTCCACTGTTCCGAAGAGGAAGCTGTTTCGGAAGCCACACGGCGGCGTGGCTTTTCAGGAAGGCCCTTTCCTCCGCTCTGCCCGGGGCAGTGACGCTGGGCACTGATTCCCCCTCTCGATTGTCGTGTTTCTTTAATAAAAACACAAAGATCTCGACCAAATGGTCAGACGGCCCTGGCCCCAGCGCCCATCTGCAGGCAGCTAAGCAAACAAGGGGCCTGTGGGCCTGCCCAGTGGTGCTGTGCCTGCAGTAGTGGAGGGTTATGGGGAAGGGGTGTTGTAGATGTTCACAAGCCCCTTCCCTCACAGCAGCTAAGTACCCCTCCAGCCCTAATGTTAGGAAAGTTTTCCCTCCTTACTGCCTCTTTTCCTGGGCTGTTAAAGAAAAAAAACAACACTTCTCCCAAAGCGAGGCTGCCCCGATTTCATGTGTGGTCTCCGCTTGCCCTGCTTGGTGGCTTTGGCTGCACCTTGAAACAATAGGGCACTGGTGCCCAGAGAATGGCTTCCTTCCCCCAGCAGGGGAGGAGTGGGAGGGGGCAGGAGGGACCCTGGGCCTCTCTGGAGCAATCAGACTTATAGGAATTAACTTCCAACTATTAAACACTGATGATAGATAGATAGATAGATAGATAGATAGATAGATAGATAGATAGGGGGAGTGTATGGGGACAGATTACAGATAGACAGACAGTCAGACACATAGATGCAGAATGCAGGGTCTGACTCGCTCAGACCCCTGCGAGCTGCCCAGGGTACGGACTCCTCCTTGTGTTCCCTGGACGGAAGGAGGGGGTGAAGCTTTCATGGAGGGGGGGTGAGGACTCTGGCAGCAGGAGGAGAGGCTAAGAATATCTGTGTTTATTCCTAGAGATAAACTCCTTTGTTTCCTGCTCGCTGGGCTCCCTTTCACAGAGGCCAGCAGGCTCCAGCGCTGCTCCCGGAGGTCAGAGAATCGCTCTGCACAAAGGGCAAATTCCATTCTCCATCCCCGCCCCCCATCTTTGGCAGGAAGCGCCTCCATCCGACCAGGGAGAGATCACAGGGGCAGCTCACAGGCACGTGGCAAGTGGCCAGGGGAGCAAGGTGCTCGCTGGCCTGCCCGGAGGGCGAGGAAGCCAGTCAGGTTGGGAGCCACTGCCGGGATGTGCGGCCCTGCCAGTGGCACCGACTGGCCGGTCCCTCCCTCCCTGCCCCCAGGGCACGCCGCAGGCACTCAGCCCCTACGGGCCTGGGGGCAGAATCAGACAGACAGTGACGGGTGCAAAGCACACAGACCGTCCTCACACTCGCCACGCAATGCCAGAAACGACGCCCCATTTTAAGTCCAGCTTCCATAGAGGGCCTCCAGGAACTGAGGCTCCTTGAGGGTTCGTGGTCCCACAGCAGCTGGGGCCCGTCCTACCCAACCTTTGGGGTAGCCCCCATAACATTCTGTCCTTCCTCAGGACCCAGAGCCCCAGGCAACTGCTGTGAGTTGGTTAGGAGGGTGGGTGAGATTTGTGTGGAACTGTTACTTCCTGGTCACCCACGCTCTGCCCATCTGAAAGCCTCCTGGGCTCACAGGCAAAGCGCTAGTGAACCCAGCTGCCATCGTTCCTACAGGGGTGTGTGTGGCCCATAGAGATTACAGGTCCCAACATGCAATGCTCCACCCACCGCCAAACAAAGGGGCAGCCTGGGGGACGCCAGCTTCTATCGTGCAGTGCTCCACTGTGATACCGGCGGAGCTGCACCGGTGGGCAGCCATCCTGCACTGCACGCTGGGGCCTGGAGTGTCTGCAGGCTGCGCCACTGGGCTCAAACGAAGGGGCAGCCGCGCTCTGGGTGCTGGATTTCTGTGAGCCGCACCTGGGCCTCGCAGTTAGGACTCCCTCCGCCCCAGGCAGCAGGGGACCCCCAAAAGGCCAAGGACACCCACTGCAGGGCCTGTCAATTAAGCACGTCTGACTCCCCGCCAGAGACAGCGGGAAGAGCGGGGCCTGCCTGGGACAAAGGGAGGCGTCAGCCCGCACGGGTCACAGTCCCAAAGGGCCGTCTGACTTAATGAGGGAGACCATCAGCAGGCGGGGTCCCTGTCCCGTCCCCCCCCCACACACACACACACACTTCTGCAGACACAATGCCTCCATTCAGCCAGCATAGAGAGCTAGTGTCTGCACTGGGGAGGGGGTGCAAACCCTTAGCAAGTCTTGTTTTCCCAGGACGATGGGGGGTGGCGGATGGGCTGGGGGGAGGGAGGGGAAGACACAAGCAAGGCATGAGAGGAAGACGGATGGAGTGTGGCTGACAAACAAGAACGTGGGGGAGGGGGAAGCAGGCACCATGCTGCCCAGGAGATGAGGGGAGACATCTGTCAATGCCAAAGGGTCGGGGGCTCGAGCGGGTGGCACCGGCCTGGCACGGGACATGCCCTGGGGAATGCTAGTGCAACTACACTCTGCACATGTGCTTTGGCACCCGGGCACTCTCCGCTGGGCCTCGCTGTGCAGCTGGCACCTGGCTACCAGGGCACTGGGGCACGCAGACTCGGGGGCGTGGGGGGCAGGATGAATGAAGGCATGTGCATTGCCAGGGGGAGCACCGCAGGGCCCTGCCCTAAAGCTTCTCTCAGCGGGCCGGGGAACGGAAAGGGGGCACTATGCATATCCCTTTGCGCAGCTGATGAAGAAAGAATGAGGAGGAGCGGAAGGGAGCAGAGCCCCACCCGATGTCAGCATGGGGCGGTTTGGGTCTTGGCTGAGGACAGCTCCCGTGGCCCGCCCCATCCCACCCCAGGGAGCCCACCCGGGAGCTGCCGCTCGCTCCCCTCATGTACCAGCTGGAGGCAGAGGGGACTGGAGGGCAGCAAGGATGCTGTCACCATGGCGACCCGCTGGGCCTACGCCA